ATTTAACCAGTACAAGTTCCTTCAAAATAAGAGTCCCGATCTTATTACTATCAAAATAAAAGTGCAAAACGAAAACTTTACCATAGGCAAATATTGGCATATTTATAATCACTTCTCTAAAAGGTAACTCATTTTAAATATAGTTAGACATATTAAAGGTAATTTACAATAATAATATTAATATTAGTAATAAGCTTTATATTTGTATAGCACCTATTACAAGAATTGTAGCCAAACTGGCTTCACAGCAGTTCAATAGACAGATTAGTATAACATGACAGGATGAAAGCAATGTAGAGGAGCAGCTACATTTCAACACATATATCCACGGAGGTTAATACATGAAGACTTGTGACTCGGACTTGACTTGGACTCTTCTTAGGTGACTCGGACTCAAACACAGGTAATGATGACTCGACTCGGACTCGACTTCGACTCTCCCTTGGTGACTCGGACTCGGACTCGAAGACTGGTAACTTGAGAGTGACTTTGACTCGTGAATCGGTGACTTGACTACAACACTGCTCACGGGTAAGTAAAAGTGGCATCGAAGATGAAATGCCGTTTAAGTCGAGAAAGTCGAACAGACCTTTACCGCAGAATTTACCACAGGACTTTAAATATCCCAAATACAATGAAGGAGAGAGTTTGCACGTGTTAAATGTTTCATTCTGACCGTCCTGCAGGAGCGCAGTCCGCCGTGTGTCGACGACTTCCTCTACATTTGCGATGACGCGTACAAGAGGGAGGAGCTTATCGCCATGGAGGCCAAGATCCTGCAGGCGCTCTCCTTCGACATCAACATCCCCATCCCGTACCGCTTCCTCAGACGCTATGCCAAGGTGTGTGTGCGGTTTCTGTCTCTTCCAACACCTTGCAGACACCTAAGTGCACTTCCTCAAAAGCCATAGATTCATTACATTGTGTGTGTGTGTGTGTGTGTGTGTGTGTGTGTGTGCGTGTGTGTGTGTGTGCGTGCGTGTGTGTGCGTGCCTGTGTGTGTGTGTGTGTGTGTGTGTGTGTGTGTGTGTGTGTGTGTGTGTGTGTGTGTGTGTGTGATTATTCATTGACTTTGAAAATATCAAATAATGCAAATAATAATTTGAACTTTTTAACTGTTGAATTATACGTTCAGGGTAATCAACTGAAAAACCAATATAAATTATACATTCATGTCTACATTTAAATAAATAATATCAAAATAATAAATACCAATAAACAAGATCATCAAACATGTTGCAGTGCACTGTCACAACCTGAAAACTCCTTAACATATAGCCAACATTTTGGTAAAACATATTCAACATATCCCACTCAGTTAAACATTAAAGGCTGGCCCACCGTATGGTCCAGAAGTAACAGGAAATAAATGTTGAACTACAATTTAAGACCAAATAAAAATGTCTTGGCCACCATGGCATCTCTTAAAGATGTTTTGCTAGAAACACCAGCCTGTTTTCAGAGATGAGCGCAGGCAGGTGACAATATTGCCACCTGTACTGAAGGCTAGGATCTCCATTATTTGGGTCAATAATTGATATCACGATTATTAAAAACAAATATCCATTTACTTTGAAAACATAAATGTATTGGAGAAAAAATGTTGAACAGTATGTTTTTAACAGTTGACTACCCTGAACTTTAAGTATAATTCAACTGAGAAACCCAAAACAATTTTTTTATTTAAAATAATAATAATAAAATAATCTTTTTATTTCGATTACGTTGTTTTCCTAATCGTTGCAAGCCATAATCGTAATCGTGATTAAAATAGGATTAATTGAGCAGCCCTAGTGTGAGGTCTCCCTTCACTAACTGAGTGTGTGTTCTCTCTGCAGTGTGTTGAGGTCTCCCTTCACTAACTGAGTGTGTGTTCTCTCTGCAGTGTGTTTAGGTCCCCCCTCAGTAACCTGTGTGTGTTCTCTCTGCAGTGTGTGAGCGCGGGGATGGACACGCTGACCCTGGCGCGGTTCTTCTGTGAGATGAGTCTGATGGAGATGGATCTGGTGGAGGAGCGCGGCTCCCTGCTCGCCTCCGCCTGCCTGCTGCTGGCGCTCATCTCCAAGGACCTGGGAGGATGGGTAGGTTCATTAAAACACTTTAAATTACATACTTCTTCTAATCTTTTCACTTCATCTGTTTGTCCCTCTTCAAACATGTCTTTATATCAGAATCAGAACACTTGTATTCGTCCCCACAGAGAGGAAAGGCCAAAGACAGATTAATGTGAACGAAGAAGCATGCATAACAAATATTAAAGATACAACAAATGTTATTTCAAAATACACATACTATGTTGGATTGTTTATTGATTTAGGGTCAACTTGGTTACAGATTTATAATTGGGATCTTTTTGTTTTTCATGTCAAAATAAGCATTAACAAACATGTCAGTGAACAAAGAACATTAAAATGGCTTCCTAAGTTGTTTATATTTTGCTTTTGTAGTTAAGTCGGTGTGGTAAGAGCACAAAAGGATATTTTACTTTTTAGTTCCTGTTCATTTATCGTTTAAAGGCTTTTTATATTTGCTCAAACCGAAATACTTCCTAATGCCGTTAAAAAGTTAACGTGCAACTTTTTGACTGCCTATATTCCTGCTTTGCAGAAAACAATCCTCTGTTCAATTTAAATGCAAATAGTTGTCCATGCAAATGTGAGTTGCAGCGGAGGACCAGATAATTTCATTTCCTTCCTGCGCTGACTCCAGGTTTAGAATCTGCTCTAATAAAGGAAACCTATTACGCACGTTCACACCGCAGTACTTTTCCCACAAAGGTTCATCAGAACTTAAAAGACAGATCGCGTTCACACCGGAATAAGTCCCTGAGGGAGGATTAGGCAAATGAAGCCGCTGATGTCACTTCTTCTTCTTCTTCTGCTTTGGGTCTACTGGCAGGCCGCAAACAACTTCACAGCGTATACTGCCGCCCGGAGTCCCCGGCCAGAAGTCCCCGGAGTTGGGGACTGCTGGGAGTCCCAGCAGCTTCTACTGAAGCCTTCACAGTAAATCGCCAGAACGCCGACACCTCCTCATCTTCACCGCTCCCATGTTTTATTTTGTGTTGGCATAAGTTAGTCTCTGCGTTTGTGCGCTGGGCTAATGCTAATAATGCTAATGCGAGGATAATAAAATGGCGGCTTCGCAAAACTTTTTGGGAGTTTTACGGGGCGTGGTTTGCATTCCACCCAGCCAATCAGAAATAGGAACCTTTTTACCCCCTTTTCAGTCCCTGCTCTCTAGCAGGGACTGAAAAGGGGGTAAAAAGGTTCTGATGAACACATTTGAGTTCCGGCTCTCTTGGTGTGAACGCGACATTTCGGAACTATATCGGAACTAGAGTGGGAAAAGAACGCGGCTAATGAAGAACTATCAACTACTAAGGATTAGGGGTGTAACGGTACACGTACCCGTACCGAAATTATTCGGTACGGGCCCTTCGGTTCGTTACACGTGTTGAGAACGTGCACAACTTCTTGGAAGTAATCTCAGGTGCTGCGTCGCAGCGTTCAGAGTAATTTGCTCACAATGTGTTCAACGCGTCATAGAGCGAGCAAGTCATTTCATTGGACGAGAGGCATACTNTACTGACCGCTTCTAAACTCATGCACGAGAATCGACGTCATCCATAGCAACGGCGCGTCACTCTTAGTTCACTCTTAGTGATTTATCCTTAGTATGAGTAGGTCTCAGCGGCTTTGTGAATAACTTTTAAGAAAAAACTCCTACGTAAAATGTTTTAGCGCGAGTTAGGAGCACTCCTAGCGGTAAGATAAAATGCTTTGTGAATACGGCCCCTGACCATTAAAGCATGGAAACATGTCACAGTAAAGGCGCAAAATACAAATATGAAACCAGAAAATTATCATAATGAGGCCTTTTTAAGATAAAGAAATCAAGCGAGATTCAGAATTACCATTGTGACTAAAGGCATCACACTTTTTTATACTAAAGGTTTGTTCAAGAATGTTTATAAAGTTGTCTCTTTTCCAATGGTGTAAATACTTTAAAGAAGTTGTATTTTTCTGTACAAAGATTAACGAGTTTAAACCCTGAATTGCCGTTATATACATCCTGAAGCTTTAGCTAATGTTGTGCGCTAAAACATAGTGGAGAGAAAAACGTACAAACAATATTTTAAAGGGGTCTTAAGTCGTTAGTTGTTTTTGTGCTGGATTCACCCCTTTTTGTTGGTTTTTCATCATTTATTTTCTTGCATTTTTCATTAAATCATGTCCCCCATCTGAGATACGTATACTCAGAAATGCTTTCAACTCAAATTCAGTTCATTCAATTTGATTTTGATTACAATTGATGCTGGACTGACAGGAGATGCTAGGGAGAGCTCTTTGAAAACACAATTGATTTCACAAGGGAATATCTGAACCAATTACTATTCAAAACCCATTTAGCAGAGATAAAATGTGTCAGTCACTGACACTGAATCAACTGATGTTGAACTCTTTAGTGTCCTATATGGTAAAAAGTTAAATGTTCAAGTCTAACATTTCTAGCAGGTGTTACAATTATTTGATTACTATTATGCTAATTTTCAGGTTCATATTTATATTTTGTGTCTCTACTGTGACATGTCTCCATGCTTTAATGTTCAATAACTGCTTCATTTTTCTCATACTGACTGTGCTGCAGCACCTCTTTTCACCCTCTGTCTGAAACCAGAGCCCAGTCTGCTCTGATTGGTTAGCTGGCTGTCTCTGTTTCTCTGTTTTGATTGGTCAACTGCTTATAAATGTCCCGCCCCTTAGAAGTGTGCTGGCGTCAGATATACGACTCCCTGTCGTCAAATTTGCAGTCTCTACCCCGACCTGCGGATATATTTTGGCAATGCCATACCTACTGTCTCCCCCTTTCAATGCTGGATCTCTAAAACATATTACGTACGCAAATGTGCGCATGTTATGCCAGGGATGCATTGATCCGATGAATGCCTTAAACTTACCATATTGGATATTAGCCAGTTTCAATGGGCTCCTTAATCCTGAGCAGTCTATTATGAGTCTTTATGACATCCTGTTACCTTACATTGAAAAGTAGTTTTTGGTTTTGGACCAAGTTTTTTGGACCAAGTTTTAAACTCCTCTGTTGCCTTGTGACCTTTAATCATAGAGAAATGTCCCGGCTCATGAACCTTGACTTTCCATCACTCAACACAGTTTTTCTGCATCTTGGAAGACAGGCAGGCGTTCTTTATCTTTACGCCGTTTAAGCCAGAATGTCCCAGATACGTCTCTGTATTTTATTTGTTGCAAAATAAAATGTGCATAAGTTTTATTTAAAATTCAGCAACTTGGCATTTCGGCTTGTATGATCGAGGTAAACTCTCTGTTGGGGTCGATGTTTTTTCGTTAAAGCCACATCACTGCTTCTTGTCCTTTTTTGAAATACTTTTGATTGCCTTGTGCGCGGTAAAGCAAAACATCGGGGAACAGTTCTTTGAGTCATTTACTGAGAAATGTTGTTACCCAACATCTGCCTGAGTCATATGTGTTACGAGGCTTTGCATAACTGTGTGGGTAATGTGTGTGTGTGTGTGTGTGTGTGTGTGTGTGTGTGTGTGTGTGTGTGTGTGTGTGTGTGTGTGTGTGTGTGTGTGTGTGTGTGTGTGTGTGTGTGTGTGTGTGTGTGTGTGTGTGTGTGTGTGATGTAAAGAGTGGGTGTTTGTTGTTCTTATGCAAGTTTCATAGTCATTGACGTTCTGAATGTGTTTTATCAGTCATCAGTGCGCAGGGTCTCCAGGCCAAGGACAGAACAGGTTCCAGCGACCCGTACGTCACCATCCAAGTTGGAAAGACCAAGAAGAGAACAAAGACCATCTACGGCAACCTGAACCCGGTCTGGGAGGAAAAATACAGCTTGTAAGTTTCACCTGGTTGTGAAGCTCAATAGGAGCTCTCAGAGGTCTGGCAATGAAGAAATGACAAAATCACTTTACAGCTGTCAGATCCTTTAACTTATAATGATAGGTCAGATGTTTTGATGGGGGTTGTATGAGGTACTTAAACATAGATTGTATACTGCCTACAGTACATAGCAATCGTCACACCCCAAGTTTTGGTGTGGAGTGGAAGTGCCAAACTGAAGCCATGAGCAATGTACTTTAGTGTACTGGGTGACAGATACACATACTATTACTGCAGAAAGCTGTAACAATCTTTAAAAAGTAGATACAAGCACCAACATGTTCACGTTATGTAAAACAATGGATTATTGCAAAAAACGTATATTATAACAATTTTTAAACTCCAACAGGAATTATAATTGTATTTCCGTATTTAAAAGACATAACATTGACACAGTATGATCCTACTGTATATTCAAATGTATTCACTGCAATGTAACAGTAAATTGGTTAAAAGGCAAATACAGTACACCATCTGAGCAACATTTTCTCTAATATGTCCTAGCATCAGTAGAAACATAATGCCCTCTTTATATATACTTACTCCTGGCACCTACAGCTACATAACACTTTACAAAAAATGAAATTTCTATTCTATAAATATAGAATATTTGTACTGCTTTATCTGGCCATCAGACAGCCCTTTCCGATGGCCAGTTAAAAAAACTTATTTCAACTTGTGAGTTGAAATGGCTTTTGCACTGAAATGTAGTGGTTACAATGCTGTATAAACAACATTTATGTGTAAGGCAAGGCAAGTTTATTTATATAACACCTTTCAACACAAGGCAATTCAAAGTGCTTTACAAAAATGAAAGACATTAAGAAAATGGCATTTAAAAACAGTCATTAAAAAGCAAAGATAATGAAATAAACGTTAAAAGAAAAAAAGTGTAAGGTCGACATCCCAAAACAAGAGGTTTTAGCCAAAACATCTAAAATATGTTTTCTCTTACAAATCATCAAATGTATGCTTACTAGGTAGTTACTACAGAATAATAGTCAGGCACCCATTTTTTAAGTATTTGTTCACATATGTTAATGTCACCCACCTGTCCTCTGTCTCCACAGCGAGTGCCACAACTCATCAGACCGTGTCAAGCTGCGAGTTTGGGACGAAGACGATGACATCAAGTCACGAGTAAAGCAGCGCCTGAAGAGAGAGTCTGACGACTTCTTGGGCCAGAGCATCATCGAGGTCCGAACTCTGAGCGGAGAGATGGACGTCTGGTACAACTTGGGTATGTAGCCGGGTCGTGGTTTGCATTCCGCCCAGCCAATCAGACATAGGAACCTTTTTCTCCCACAAAAGTACCTGCTCTCTAGCAGGGACGGAAAAGTGGGTAAAAAAGGTTCTCATTAACTAATTTTAGTTCCGGCTCTTTTTGGTGTGGAACGCGAACATTTCGGAACTATATCGGAGACTAGAGTGGGACAAAGTACTGCGGTAGTGAAGCAACTATCAACTAATAGGGATTATCCGACCGACATGGTGTTCGGTACAGTCTTTCTGTTATGGTATACGGTGTGACAACGTGTCACCAATACTTGGAAGTAGTTCTCAGTGCTGCGTCGCAGCGTAAATATAATTTGCTCACATTGTGTTCTGAGACGTCATACAACAACAAGTCATTCATTGTACCAGAGCTACATTAAGAGCAGTTCACAGGGATGGTACTAATCATAGTCAATAAATAAATTGGCGAACTGCCAACACAAATGTTGAGCTCTGAGTTCCTCCACTTGCAGAACGAATAGCAAGTCTCCGGTTCTGGTAACTATTGGTCTTCACATCAGTTGGAGATCAAGGGATGACGGAGAAAGGACGTGGCTGACCGAATCACGACAGTACACGTCGGCACTGTCATTTGGTTACGCACGACTAACACACACCACACGTACACACACTCATAGAACGGCACACACACACAAACCTGAATATCACCGGAACCAAAAGAAAAAAGACTGAAGTGCAAACCCAACTCCCGCTAGCATTTAAGCCTCCACCACTCGCAACAAGTTCAGACCGAGCCAAAGCTATTACAAACACCAAATATATTCTTATGTTGCCATGTTAGCAAAGCGCTACCTGGCTGTATCTGCTACCTCTGCCCCTAGCGAGAGGGTGTTCTCCACAGCAGGAGACATTGTTAGTTCCAGCAGATCTGCCCTTTCAGCAAGCAATGTGGACAAGTTCATTTTTCTTTAAAAAAACATGAAAATACAATGAAAAGCAAGTCATAATGTCAAACTGGCTGCTTAGGTAAAGTTAAAATACAGATTATTTCAGTTCATCAAAATGCTGCACCTTAATGTTTATGTTTATTATATTTTGTATTTATTTGAGTGAAGACATTATTCACAGTTTAATAATAATAATAAAAAAATTATATATATATTTTATGTTTTGTGATAATTTTTTCTGCTGTACCGAAAACGCACCGAACCGAACCGTGACCTAAAAACCGAGGTACGTACCGAACCGAAATGTTTGTGAACCGTTACACCCCTACTAAGGATATGTTTGTAGCTTTAATAATCCAACATGGCTACCTACTGACGTGTCTGTCGTCTCTGCAGTCTCCCATCCTGCAGTTCCACTCCGGGTATCAGACGTCAGACTTGGCGCCCGTCATCAGGAAACTGTACGAGATGCTTTTAGCTCCTGCGGACGATAAACTGAGAGCCATCCGGAACAAATACTCACACAAGTACGTTCAAGCAAACCAGCGCATGTGTAAAAAAGGTGATGACATGCTTTAAATTTCTGCGATCATTAATCCATTCTTTCTTTTTTCTCAGGGTGTTTTTCGAAGTTGCATCCTTACCTTTGGTCGACACCGACATCCTGGAGAATGCTTTATCTCAGTGAGACGTCGCCTACTACCAAAATAAAATCTTGCCAGTGAGTGAAAGTATTTTAAAAAAAAAAAAAAGAAGAAGAAAGTTCCCTCCAACGCTGTACATATTTGTTAATATGTTGAATATTTATATGTCATCTCGCCTATCTTATATTATATTTTAGATAAATTCCAGTTTCTGATGCATGTAGTCCTCCTGTGGGCATTTGTTAAGAAGGGTTGCCAGTGTCCGATGTTGAGGTTGTTAATAATGGCATTTTAAGCACTTAATTCCAGTTGTTTTGGCATTCATTTTATAGCTTTTTATAAGAAGACAGAACAAAAACAGCCATTTTTGTGTATCGTTTGAAAAGTTTTAAGATAATGGTAGGTTTGAGAGAATTCGAAACCTGCCTGCGTGTTTTTACAAGCGTTCCCACGTTGTTATACTTGGCAGGTATGTGTATTTCCACATGTTGTACAGTGTTTATCATGTTCATATCACTATGCTAATTATTATTTGTATAAGAGACGACCGGATGATGCTGTGCTATTTTTTTAAATGGCTGTCAATTCGCACTCTTAAAATAAAGACTTTTTTTTTTTATCTGTTTGATAAAACGGCTGGATTTTTCTTATTTATTTAAATCATTTCTTGTCTTGATGTAAGAGTGTCTTGAACATGTGATATTGGTGTGTGTGGCCACCAGAGGTCAACAATGCACCGTGTTCCTCACTGTGATTCATCTCCAAATTAACACTTGAAATATTTATACCATCGGATCATTTTCTCTTGTTATTCTACTGAAGCCGTGTTGGACTTTTGTTAATACTGTTACCTGATCCCCCTACTGTCCTGAAGCTTTATTCTTGACCTTTTTAAAAACAGAATAGTTGGAAGTAAAAGGGCCCATGTCATGCTTTTCCGGTTATTACCCGTCCCCTTGTGTGTTATGAAGGTTTCTATGGAAACTCCAACACAGAACGCCTCGTTGGAGATTTCTCATTTTCCATTGTTTACTTCCTGGGTTCTGTGACGTGTGAATACCCAGATCAACAACAAATGACCGGATTGGCCCAAATGGACCAATCTGTGGAGCACCTCCCACACCAGGACCCCTTGGCTAACTAACACGACCCATTGACTTGCATAGAGCTCCCTGAACGCTGGTAATAGACGAGTTGGGATGGCGGAGAAATGCTCTCCGCAGACCCATTCTTTCTCACAGCGTTATAAACCTTTTTTGTTTCTCAATATCAAGCCACACTTATTGTTTTTACTTTGGCTGTGAGTGTTTGTGTGTGCTCAGGATGAGTTTTGCTTGTTCTCGCTGTATCGCCGACCCGGAAACCTGTCCGCTCATCGCAGCAGCAACGAGCCTCGTAATGTCCCGACCAATCAGAGCACACTGGGCTCACAGGGAGGGGGGGGGGGCAGGAGCTCCAACAAGCCGTTTAGGACAGAGTGAATACACATACTATACAGAGATGCTGTATGAGAAACCAATGTGAGTTTGGAACAATGTCAATCTATTCTAGTAGACCTCAACAATGGAAATTTGATTAGTAGAAATGGCCATGACATGGGACCTTTAAAGAGTTTCAAGCTTTTGTATTATTAGTATTTTGTTTTCAACACCAAGATGTCTGCAAAATATATCTGTATTTAAAAAAAAAAAAAGAGAGAATTCTCAACTTTTAAGCTAACGAGTCAAAAGCTCAAATTTAGCATCGTTGTTTTTGTTTTTCAACTTGACCGTTTTGGTTCAGTCCCAGCGACGTTATAGCTGATTTATTAGTCTGCCTAAAAGCTGCAAACATATAACCATTGTGTGCATATTTATTACATTCTGTGATGACCTGAAATCCCCAACATAAATCATTTAGGTTTCATTTTGTCTTTTCTCCTTGTCCTTTATATTACATAATACTAGCAGGGGGGTGATACATTATTTTGCTCGTGTTATAAATTATGGATTGAAAGAAAGTGCATTTTTGTCAAACTTACTTTTGAGCGTAAGCCCTCTCTATTTCACGACTGTAGAGCCGCCATCTGGACTATAAATTACCACAAGTGCAGCTTTGATTGGCTCTAATGTCAGCAATTATCCCATGAAAGTCAACATGTCTCTGTTTCTGGTGTTTTATTAGGGGAGTGTGGTGTGACTGCAGGCAAAAATATCCGCAGTATAAGATCAGATTGGTGCTGGTTTCAGGTCAGTCTGCCACAAAGACACACATCAGAGTTCTGTGTCTTAATTGAGACAAACAAATAAAGCCTATAAATAATTAAGTGTGTGTGTCTGAGTCCAAAGACAGCCACAGGGAGGCTGATGGAGGAAGCAGACAGTTGTGTGTGTGTGTGTGTGTGTGTGTGTGTGTGTGTGTGTGTGTGTGTGTGTGTGTGTGTGTGTGTGTGTGTGTGTGTGTGTGTGTGTGTGTGTGTGAAACATCCCTATAAATAATGGACAGCGCACTCATGGAAGAAAAAGAAAAACACCCAAGCAAACAAATAGAAATAGACAGCGAGAAGAGGAGAGAAACAATAGATACATATTCCTGTTTGATCGGGCTGTCAGATCAGTCAGAGGAGATGAAACAGAAACAATGAAAAGTGACACACCAGACTCAAAGCTGGCATGTTTTGAAGCTTTGTAAACATTCAAACATTCAAAAAGACAGCGATGTTATCCATTATAATCATCTATTGCACTGTAAGTGGTGAGTGGTATAGGTTAAAGGCTAATAATAAATGACATACTTGCATACAACTTTATTTCGAAAACTAGGTCTCAACTTATTAGGAAAAGAAAGGCAAACATAAAAATAGCTACCCATAATGTGGCTAACCACTGGATTGTTACATTTTGGGCCCTTTGGACCTATTCAAACTGTTTTAAAGATGCTTAATATCCATCATAGTTGACTCCAACTCGGATTCAGCGGTGATGGAAACTAATTAAGAACATTTACTTAACCTTTAAGGTACTTTTCTATCCTACTCAACCACTAAGAGGGAAGTAATGTAGCCTACGTTCTACTCCATGACAGATGTAGGTACTTTCTTTACTCAAACCACCATTGACAAGCTTAAATCATAGAATACAGCTTCACATGAGAAGCTACGTTAAGGTTTAGGTGTTTTAAAGATGCTAAATATCCATCATAGTTGAGTCCAACTCCGATTCAGGATTTAGGATTAGGATTGTCTGCCCCGCCCCTGATTGTTTCCACCTGTGCCCACTTACGTCATGTATATATTGTCCTGTCTATTGTCACTTTTAAGCGCCCTCAACGACGGTCACTACTGTTGTTTGGCTCTCTATAACTTAGAACTCAGCCTCATTTTATCTGGAGTTATGGTTTCTTTTTCACCAGTGGTTTTTTACAGTTTCGTATCTGCTTATTAGTAGCGACCTTCACTACCGTCAAAGGAAATTTACGTAACTGTTTCGTTTAGGTTTTCTCTTTTAGAATTAGGTAAATCGAAAAAAAAAATAAAAACCGCTATTTTGTCACCACCGATCCTCTAAATTTTACTAGTAATACCTAACTTTAAAATACAGTTAATGAAGTTTTGTCGTAAGCAGGACGGTCGGGCAATAATTGACTCAGAGGGCTTATCTGTCGACGAAAATAAATAGTTCACACACAAGTAATTATAGACGATATCGAAAGTTCTCTACCTATATCAAAGTATTAGTAACCTTATACGGCTAGGTCTTGAATTTAGGTCGGCTATTTCCCTGAAAACGAATAGAGAAACAACCGAGATAAACTGGATAAAACCCCCCGTGTTTGTCATAAGTTTAATTCAGGGAGACTTTCAACACAATCCTTGGACCCTGGGAGTTAATCAAACCTCCTGAAGTTTACGTGTTGGGGTCTCTGTTTTTCCACTTCTTTTTTAATTGAAAGAATGAATTTGTTGTTTGTTTTAGTTGAGAAATCTCCTTATAGTTTAACTGGTTTTCTCTATCGCGAGAGTTACCTCCCTTTCCGTTTTGGTGACCTTAGAGAAACTTTCGTTACCGAAACCTAGATCGCAAGACCCTGCTACCTTGATCTTGCTTTGGCTGTT